AGAACTTATATGCATGTATGCATGACCAATGGACATGGACAACTAAGCCAGGGACGGGGCGGAGGTGGGGTGGGGTGGGGAGGTGCCAATGGGGCAAAAAGTTAAAATATCTGTAACAAAAAAATAAGTAAAAATTCATAAAAAAAAAAAAATCTGCCTGTGATTATCAGAGGCAACAGTGAGAGGACATGGTGAGGGAGTCATGGAAGGTAGAGGTGGAAAGTACCTTTTAGGACCAGATGATAGAGCTACCTGAGGTCACAAAAGGCAAGACTGCAGAGGTGTGATGGGATCAGATGAAGGATCTGGCTGAGGCTCTGGGTGATCAAACTGCATGAGATCAGGTGATGGTGGTAGACGAGGATACGTGGATAATGAAGCCCCATGGGGCTGTGGGAGACAAGTCTGCAGTTCTCAACTATAGAGGCAGGAAGGGAAAATTTTGAGGGAGATGCTGGAGCAGAGCAGGACACGGAGGCTGTTACAGGAGAGGGGTGGAGTGCTTAGTGGTCTCAAAACCCATGCTGCATCAGTCCTGACCCTGGTCACATATTTCTGTGTGTATCCACTGGGCACTGTCAGGCTTAGAAAGAGTGGAGACCTTGCTAATGAGTCACAGCTTCTGCAAATGTTGGCAAGTCTGCTCTTTGACAGGAGAGCTGCTTTTGCAAGCAAAGTTGAGCAGAAACAATGACCTAGTTCACCTGCCTTCATGCTGGCTCCCATGCCAAGGCAAATCGCTGGACGTTCATTAGAAGTGAAAACTCATTCTCCAGTTAACGCCTTACTTGTCATAACCTTGTCCCCACCTTCCATAACAGGGAATTCAAGGTCGTCAGCAGCTACAGAGCACATGTCTTTTCTTTGCTCTTGAAACCCGAAGACAAAATGTTGGATGACTCTCTCCGCTAAGGGGTGTTACAGACCTTTGCCTGGTAAACCCAGGACTGGATGTCAGACAGCAGGCAGCTCCATGTCTGTGTGCCCAGAATTGACACACGCCCCCAGTTGGCCTTCATTGTCATGTGTGGAGGGGGCACACACATGGTTTTGGATGGAGAGTGCTCAGAGAAGTGTGTTACTTCAAACATATCACTGGGGTGAAGTTTATTTCATAAAGAAAATTAGGGCAGAGTCTCTTCACCAAGCCAAGGTCAGGGTACTGATTCTCTACTAGATTTTCAGCTCATGGGATTACATGGAAAACTTAAAAGACAACAACAACAACAAAGAAAATACTAAAAACAAACAAACAAACACATAATAACAAAGAGCTGCACCTGGAGATGCTGATTTAATTGGTCTGAATTCTTCTGCTGCTTTTTTTTTTAAGAGCTCCTCAGTGATTCCAATCTGCAGCCAACGTTGGAAACCACTGGGTTAGACTTTAAAAGTCTGTCCATTTTTTTGCAGTGTACTTGGCCCCGGTTTTCTGCTTAAAGTGAAAGGAGGGAATCCTGAAGTTATTGACTCAAGGTTTGGAAAACCAAATGGGCAAGGACAAAGCAGCTGAGAAAGTGTGAGGTGTATCCAGGGGCAAGAAATCAGGGCTGCAGCTGGAAACCTCACTCAGGATAGGCTCCTTTCTTACTCGGTGTCTTTATTGTTCAGCAGAAGCCACAGCAATTGTCCCCAGAGGGCCAGAAAGATGCAATTACATTTCTCCTATTTCTCTCAATCCCACTCCAGAACTTCAGGTTCAGTCAATTGGGTGGGACCAGAAAATATGACTTTCTAACAATCTCCCAGGTGATACTGGTGCTGCCGGTCCCCAGAAGGCAAGGGAGAAGAGAATTACTTAAAATGAAAATGCAGCAGAGGCAGCAGGCGTTTTTCACTGAGCACCTGCTATGTGCCTGGCACCATGTCAGACCAGGGGATCCAGAGGAAGAGATCCATAGATGAACCATGACATTTTGTTAGGTTCCATGGAGGGACCCTCCAGTTTCTTCTTGGAGATGTACAGGGATAGAAAGAGTGTTGCTCCCACTCTAACGATATAAAAAAGCCGGACAAACTGCAAGTTCAAACTTTCCTTGACTCCATCAGACAGCTGAGGTCACAGGGCAAACAACTAACCTCAGAGTAAAGGACAGACAGACATCCGCAGGAAGAACTGGGACATAAGCCCTTGCTTACCTGGGGCAGATGCAGCAGGATGTGGGTAAGAGGTCACTTGAATTTTTTTTTAGTTGTTTAAAAAATTATTCTTATTGAGGTCCTTTGTCAAGCCATAGGGTAGGAGCAAGGGGGAAATATGAAAAGATCCTGAACCTTCTATTGTATCGGGGTCCCTGAAGCCAAGAATGAAACTGGATGGATTTGAACTGTTGGAGAAAGCCCTGGGTTTGGGTGCCAAAAGGGCCAGCTGGAGGAAACCCCATCAACAGCTCCCATGCTAATTGTTGCAAATGGTGTTTGTGCCAACAAGGTGTCTGAAGCCCTAGGAATGGGCCAACCATCTGGATCAGCAAGGATGATTTCTGCTAGCAATTTCTACCCCTGATGGGCTTGTCCCTTTGCAGATCTGCGCACACCCTTAGAGCTCTTCTCTCCTGAACGTATTTCTGTTCTAGCACCATCCTATGCACAGCCTCACAGTAAATCCAAACCAGGTTTTGTTAGAACAATAGGAGCCTGGTGAATGCAGTCTCTTCAATATTGCCACTCATTGGATAGCTCTTGTAACTTTTAAAAAAATATATTTTTATTGATCTTTTTAGATAGAGAAGAAGGGGGGGGGGGGAGAGAGACAGAAACATCGATGAGAGAAACATCTTTTGGCTGCCTCCTGCGTGCCCCCACACTGGGGATCGAGCCCGCAACCTGGACATGTCCTCTGAATGGGGATTGAACTGGCAACCTCTTGGTGCATGGGTCTATGCTCAATCCACTGAGCCACACCAGGGGGCTCTTGTAACTTTTTCTGTACATAAAAGTTATAGCCTTGTGGGTCTGAGCTAAAACTGTATGGTTATCAGAAGCTCTGAGATCTGGAAATATTTTTACTTGGCTTTCTGAAATATTTAATATAAAGTCCATGGATGTATATCATTCTTCTTTCCCAGGGACTTTTGGATAACAAAGGAATTTAATGAAAAATGTTCATCTTTCAGAAAACGCTATTAAGATTTCTGCTTCTTAATGAGAGGCCAACAGGAGTCAGGCTAACTTGAAAACACAAAAGTCATTCTTCATCTACTTTATGTTCCTTATTCATTATATCTTATTCTTCATAGCTTTCAGGATTCCTGGGTGTCTCTGTGGCCCATACCGACTAGAAAGATTCCCAGCTCAGTTCTTCCTCTCAGGATTGATATGGATTATTTTTATTTCCTGTGAATCCTTTCCTGCCCAAACCAACCCTTTCCCACCACATAGCTTTGCCCACATACCAGGAACCCAGGGAGAGAGGCGGGCCCTGAATTAAGAAATGTTCTTTCCTTGATTGTCAACATAAAATAAACTTTTTAGTATTTCCAGTAATTCATCAGTAGGTTATGGTTCTCATTTTCCAAAGTCCCCTTTGCTGGTGAATTCTTGGTATTTCTTTGAATAGTTCACTTTCACTCATCCCCCTTCAAGCTAATTTTATCATCCAGAGAGGAATCAAACCCATCTTCCAAATATCTGGAGTTGTGAGTCTTTTGAAGTCTATCCTCAAACTGAAATATTAGTTAACTATCCCATGGATTGTCCCTGGTCTCACCAACCTTGGATTAGACCTGCGGGAATCTCACATGGAAGACCTTTAGACTTGACCACTGTGATCCCGATTCCCGGTTTCATATTTGTTCTACACATCAAATGCCTGACATACAGATTCACATTTAATTCTAGAAATCTCTTGGAACAGTCAACTTCTCCTCACCAATAATTAACCCAGGCCCAAACTGGATGTCCTGAGCTGACATTGAACTTCACTTGACTTTTTGCATCTACTCTCATCTTAACCCTAGTACTGAGTCTTGGCCTTTACTGAACCAGTACACTCAAGACTGGAGTGAGGTAAAACTGGTCTGAGTTGAAAGTGTTGGGAAAACTTCTTCTCACATTTTCCTGGCAGTTGTCTTACCGTTTTGGTTGAAGGAGATGATCTTTGTGAGTGCAAAGCATCCAGTGCGCATGTGCTTTCACCAGAGATAAGCATGGCATATGGTTTCTTTCACTTGAACATTCACATGGATTTTCTAAAAGTTATTAAATATCAGAACTAAAAGCCTTGTGTCTCAGGAGAATAAATACATCTACACACACACACTCACAGAGACACAAACACACACACACACAGAGACACACACTCACAAAATAAGTCACAGAAGAGTATCGGTGCATGGGAAAGGGATGATGTCAGTGAAATACTAAACCAAGTATCGGTGTCCATTTGCTCATTCTTGTTAGGATTAAACTGAAAGCTGTTTATCTGCCCCTAGTTGCACAGGGATAGATCTTGGCTCTACCCTCGAAATAGATTCTTGGCACAGTTTCATTGTTAGGAATATAGGATCCAAGACCAAAAAAAATTTGTCCTTAAGGAGTGTGTCAGAGTTATGGTCCTCAGATCTTTATCTATCTTGATGTTTTGAAAACTTGCTTTAGGAGAAATAACATAGGCCTGGAGTAGACAGACAGGAAGGAAGGGGAAGCTGAGAGAAGAGCCAGGAAGCAGGGACTAGAAGCTGTTCTATTTTTCCGAGCGGGGGGAATAAAATTAGACAAGTGACAAATGTGTGCGTGTACAATAACAGCAGATCTGAGCAGGAGGGGAGGTGGTGAGTCCATGGTGCTATGTGTAAAGGACAATTAAAATTCGTTCAGGAAAAATTCATAAAGATAAAGTTCATGTACCACACATGGCTTTGATCTCTAACGCAGGCTTTTCTTGCTACGATGAGTGAAGAGCGTGCTTAGTTTCAACCAGTTCTCCAGGTCTCCATCTCCATTGACTTCCGCTAAAATGACAAACCAAATACCAATTTCTTTTTGTTTCTGTTTTTCAGCATTGAAACAAGGTATGCTTAATGATGACAACAGCTCCGAACTGAGGGCTCCAGGCCAGAGTGCTGCACCCACCTGGATTCATCCTCATGTGGAAGTCATTCATGCCTTCTTTCTTGGCCTTTTCCAAACCTAGTCACTGTAAGCTACACAACATGGCTCTCTGTTTATATTTAAATATTTTAAATCTGAGGAGCGAAAACAGTCTTCTTAGACATTTATTTTTTCAATAGAGACTTCATAAATGTGCATGCTCTTTTGTGTTTGCTTGTTTTTTCCCTGGGCCTGCTGCTATTGGAATTATGTGTGAAGAGTCCACCTTAGGAGGGAAAAGAACTACTAAATAGAATCCTTTGGTCAATTCTTTTTCACAACACAGTGGATAAAATGCTCAGACTGCGCCCTGGCTGGTTTGGCTCAGCAGTTAGCATGTCAGCCTGTAAACCAAAGAGTTGTGGGTTCGATTTTAGTCAAGGGTACGTAGTTCGATTGCAGTTCAGACTCCCCAGCCTTGGTCAGGGTCATGTGGGAGAAAGCCGATCGAGAGAGAGGTGTTTCTCTCGCATCGATGTCTCTCTCTCTCTCTCTCTCTCCCCCACTCTATCTGAACATAAATGGAAAAATATCATCAGGTGAAGATTTAAAAAAAATGCTCAGACTCCATGTAACAAAATTATTGAGTCTATAATATATCCTAGACACCATTCCAGGCACAAAGCACAATGCAGCAAATAGACAGAAACTCCTGTCCTCATGAAACATACACTCTACTTGTGATAGGAAAAAAATTAAAGAAGGAAAACAGGTAGGGGATGCCAGAGGTCATGGTGGTGGTGCAATTTTATTGCTGTGAGTTCATGAACATTGTGTTTGCAGAGATATTTTGAGCAAAGAACTGAAGGAGAAGAAGGGAGCCAAGTGGATGTTGAGTAGAGAGCATTCCTGGGAGATAAGTGAAAGTCTATCTGGTGCACTAGTAGATCAGCATGGAGGCCAGGGTGGCTATAGAGAGTAAGGGAGGAGACAAAGTGTAGTTTGAAATAATAATTCAAATGTAAAAATATAGGGCTCTTTCCCAACCTGATTCTTACCAAAATATGTTTCTGATGTTTCATCCCCTATCTAGACAAGACACATGATTTGAGGTCCAGGTGTATCATCACTAGAAATACTAGAAATAATAAGGCTATGCTATCTGATCCACTTTCACTTATTACATTGATAATTTTCATAATCATGATAATCACCACTGTGACCACAATACGGCTCTATAAAGTGGCTCTATAGTTTACATAATTTCTTTTGACCCTGTTATAACACCTGGGTAAGTGTTATTTTTCAATTTTGCAGATAGGGGAACTTTTCAGGTGCATTATGTGACTCCCCTAAAATTGCTAAGCTACTCCTGGCTAGTGTGGTTCAGTGGTTGAGCATCAACCGATGCACCAAGATGTTGCCGGTTCGATGCTTGGTCAGAGCACATGCCCAGGTTGTGGGCCCGATCCCCAGTGGGGAACATGCAGGAGGCAGCCAATGGATGTTCTTTCTCATCAATATTTCTATCTCTCTCTCTTCCTCTCTCTAGAAATCAATAAAGAAAATAATTAATTAATTTAAAAAATTGCAAAGCTAGTAAATACTGGTGGGGTATGGACTAGCATGTCAGTATTATTTTTGCTAATCACAGTACTTCAATGCCAGCAGCATCCTGTATACCTGCCCAGAATATCTCTGCTCTATCATTTATCCTTTTTTTTTAAAAAAATATTTTTTATTGATTTTTTTTTTTATGAATTATTTATTTATTTATTTATTTTTTTGTTACAGATATTTTACCTTTTTACCCCATTGGCACCCCCCACCCCACCCCCCCTCCACCCTGTCCCCGGCTTAGTTGTCCATGTCCATTGGTCATGCATACATGCATATAAGTTCTGTGGTTTATCTCTTCCCACCCCCCCACCCCCCATCCCCTCTTCTGAGGGATGTCAGTCTGTGCCCTACTTCCATGTGTCTGGGTCTACTGTATTCCTCAGACTGTTATGTTCATTATATTCCGTATATAAGTGAGATCATGTGGTATTTGTCTTTTTCTGCTTGGCTTCTTTCACTTAGGATAATACTTTCCAGGTCCGTCCATGTCGTCTCAAAGGATAAGAGATCTTTCTTTCTTACCGCTGCATAGTACTCCATTGTGTATATGTACCACCGCTTTTTGATCCATTCGTCTACTGGTGGACACTTGGGCTGTTTCCAGATCTTAGCTATTGTAAATAGTGCTGCTATGAACATGGGGGTACATATATTCTTCCTGATTGGTGTTTCAGGCTTCTTAGGGTATATTCCCAGCAGTGGGATCACTGGGTCAAATGGGAGTTCAATTTTTAATTTTTTGAGGTAGCACCATATTGTTTTCCATAGCGGCTGCACCAGTCTGCATTCCCACCAGCAGTGTATTAGAGTCCCCTTTTCTCCACACCCTCGCCAACACTTGTTGTTTGATGATTTGTTGATGGCGGCCATTCTGACAGGTGTGAGGTGATACCTCATTGTTGTTTTAATTTGCATCTCTCTGATGATTAGTGATGTTGAGCATTTCTTCATATGTCTTTTGGCCATTTGTATGTCCTGTTTGGAGAGGTGTCTATTCAGCTCCTCTGCCCATTTTTTAACTGGGTTCTTTGTCTTCCTTTTGTGGAGTTGTATGAGCACTCTGTATATATTGGAAATTAACCCCTTATCTGATACATCATTGGCAATGATGTTCTCCCATACAGTGGGTTGCCTTTCCATTTTGATGATTGTTTCTTTTGCTGTGCAGAAGCTTTTTAGTTTGATGTAGTCCCATGTGTTCATTTTCTCCTTTATTTCTGTTGCCTTAGGTGATGTATCAGTGAAAATTCTGCTCCGTATGATGTCCGAAATTTTGTTGCCTACATTTTCTTCTAGAATTTTTATGGATTCACGGGTCACATTTAAGTCTTTTATCCATTTTGAGTTTACTTTTGTGTATGGTGTAAGATGATGGTCTAGTTTCATTTTTTTGCATGTAGCTGTCCAGTTTTCCCAACACCATTTATTAAAGAGGCTGTCTTTACTCCACTGTATGCTCTTGCCACCTTTGTCAAATATTAATTGAGCGTATTGCCTTGGGTTTTCATTTCTGGGTTTTCAGTTCTGTTCCACTGGTCTATATGCCTGTTCTTGTGCCAGTACCAGGCTGTTTTGGTTACAGTCGCTTTGTAGTATAACCTGATATCTGGTATTGTGATCCCTCCAACTTTGTTCTTCTTTTTCAAGATTGCTGTGGCTATTCGGGGTCTTTTTTGGTTCCATATGAACTTTTGAAGTATTTGTTCTAGTTCTATGAAATATGTCGTTGGTATTTTGATGGGGATTGCATTGAATCTATAGATTGCTTTGGGTAGTATGGACATTTTAATTATGTTAATTCTTCCAATCCATGAACAGGGTATGTGCTTCCACTTTTTTATATCTTCCTCTATTTCTTTTTTCAATGACTTGTAGTTTTCTGCAAATAGGTCCTTTACTTCTTTGGTTAAGTTTATTCCTAGGTATCGTAATTTTTTTTGGAGCGATGGTAAATGGGATTGTTTTTTCAGTTTCTCTTTCTGTGAGTTCATCATTGATGTACAAGAATGCCGTCGATTTCTTGATGTTAATTTTGTATCCTGCTGCTTTGCCAAATTCATTTATTAAGTCTAATAGATTTTTGATGGAGTCTTTAGGGTTTTCTATGTAACAATATCATGTCATCTGCAAATAATGACAGTTTCACTTCCTCCTTTCCAATTTAGATCCCTTTTATTTTTTCTTCATGTCTGATTGCTGTGGCTAAGACTTCCAGTACAATGTTAAATAAGAGTGGCGAAAGTGGACATCCCTGTCTTGTTCCTGTTCTTAATGGAAATGTTTTTAGTTTCTGTCCATTGAGTATGATGTTGGCTGTAGGTCTTTCATATATGGCCTTTATTATGTCGAGATATGATCCCTCTATTCCTACATTGCTGAGCGTTTTTATCAGAAATGGATGCTGGATTTTGTCGAATGCTTTTTCAGCATCTATTGATATGATCATGTGGTTTTTATTCTTCATTTTGTTTATGTGGTGTATCACGTTTATTGATTTGCGAATATTATACCAGCCTTGCATCCCTGGGATGAATCCCACTTGGTCATGGTGAATAATTTTTTTGATGTAGTTCTGGATCCGATTTGCTAGTATTTTGTTCAGGATTTTGGCGTCTTTGTTCATCAGGGATATTGGCCTGTAGTTTTCTTTCTTCGTAGTGTCTTTTTCTGGTTTTGGAATTAGAATTATGCTGTCCTCATAGAACGTGTTTGGAAGTCTTCCTTCTTCTTGAATTTTTTGAAATAGTTTGAGGAGAATGGGCGTTAGTTCTTTTTTGAATGTTCGGTAAAACTCCCCCGTGAAACCATCTGGGCCTGGGCTTTTGTTTGCTGGGAGAGTCTTGATTACCTCTTCAATTTCCTTAGTTGTTATTGGTCTGTTCAAGTTTTCTATCTCTTCTGGGAATAGTTTTGGGAGACTGTGTGTTTCTAGAAATTTGTCCATTTCGCTTAGATTGTCGAATTTGTTGCCATATAGTTGTTCATAGTAGTTGTTAACGATCTTTTGTATTTCCGTGGTGTTGGTTGTTACTTCTCCTCTTTCATTTCTGATTTTGTGTATTTGGGTTCTCTCTCTTTGTTTCTTGGTGAGTCTAGCTAAGGGTCCATCAATCTTGTTTATCTTTTCGAAAAAGCAGCTGTTTCATTGATCCTTTGAATTGTTTTTTTGGTCTCTATGTCATTTATTTCTGCTCTGATCTTTACTATTTCCTTCCTTCTACTTGCTCTGGGGTTTTCTTTTTGTTTGCTTTCTAATTCTTTAAGTTGTGAGGTTAGACAGTCAATTAGAAATTTTTCTTGTTTTTTGAGGTAGGCCTGTAGTGCTATGAACTTCCCTCTCAGAACTGCTTTCACTGCATCCCATAGATTTTGTGTTGTTGTGTGTTCATTTTCATTGGTTTCCAGGAAGTTTTTGATTTCTTCCTTGATCTCCTCGGTGACCCATTCATTGTTTAATAACATGCTATTTAGCCTCCATGTGTTGAAAT